GGGGGGGGGGGTCTGAGTGGCTCGCGGCTGCTGCTTCCAGACAAGCTACCAGAAACAAACCTCAGCGGGGCTTTAGTTTAGTTTAGCCAGCCGCTGTGTGAAAACGGAGACAGGAGACGACTCTGGTCGGTGGCACTAGCGCACGTCTGAATGTGTGCAGGTAAAGTAGTGCGCGCTTTGCACTGACTCGAGCCTTTTATGCAACCCGCCCTGCTCACCAGGCACAACGATGTCCGAGGCTGCTAGCGCTACTGCTACAGACAACAACGGAGACTCCGGGCTAAACGGTAAGCTACATGTTACCACATTTCTGGACCGTAACAGTCTTGTCAGTGTGTTTTCTCTCAGAGGAGCGTGTCGGGAAACGTGGCTTTATGTTTGCAGTAAGTTTATTGAGGGTTTTTAAATCATTAAAGAGTTTATTCTGCCCGTTTAGCTTTTTTTTTTTTCCGCCGTGAAGCTACATTGAAGGGGGAGAAGTAGGAACGCTATGTTCCGTGTGTTTATTGACAGTGGACGCACCAATGGCGTTGCGACACGCTTGACTGACTGGCAAGTTAACCAATCAGCGTACCAGTCGGAGGGGTGAAGGAGGTGGGTTCAAGCATTGTCAACAAGGCGAGATGGAAGAAGTCAGAACTGATAAAAATGGGGACAGAGAAATGTTGACAATTTACACGTTGCTCTACTTTACAGGCAATGAAATCTAAACACCACAGAAACCAGCCGACATATCTAAAGTTTATACCTTCTTCCATCCTTTTTATGCGTTATATTTTCAGATTTCAGCCTGCGTTGATTAATTAATTAAAGTATTTAGGGTCTATTTACATTTAAATGACTAACTCAATAGCATCTGGCAGATAATATTTTGCACAGCGCGTTCACTGCATACATTTCAAGTGTGTGGAAATGTATCACCTGAACATTCAGTTGTTGAAATGGGATATGATAGGCTCCATATAAGAGCTCGGCTTGCAAAGGCCATTGGCGACATAAACAAAAGCTTGTTTATTACACTGTTGCACTGACTCAGGGGCCTGCTAGGAGAGCTGCTGTGGCTGAAGTTTTACCCCACTTTGGGGGGCTGTGAAGCATGCTATTTATGGCCACAGTGACAGGGGGGACAGACGTTTTGGACGTGAGGAAGGTGGGGAAAGTGTTACAGCACACAGCAGTGTAGGAACATGGAGGATGGTTGAGTCAAAGCCACAATCTGGGCTGGAAGCAAAGTTTCCAGCTACTTTTCTTATTTTAAGAGACACATGAATTTATTTGAACAGGATTGGATAGCCAGTAATGGATAGTTACCTTTTTAAAACTGGCCTGTGGAGTAAGAAAGTTTCCAGCATTTGGCTGCTGGATGGTAATAATGTTAGACCCCAGATTTACCACTGCTATTTGTACACTCAACAGCATGTTCAGCTCGCCTTTATATTCCCACTGTTACATGATAAGGAAAGCAACAAGTGTTCCTTTTATCAGAGGCGGTTCTGTCATTATGTTAAAGTCTGGTAGTGTGTCTTAGAACAGTCCAACCTTTTGTATATACTTTATATGCAGAGATCTGGCCTGTTATGCCAACAACAGGAAAAAGACTGGAGAAGCCCTGCAAACATTTCAGAAGGATCAGACATTTTATTTTGTCTGGGGCCCCATAATCCCTTGCTACCACAACATTAACTCAGCACCATTTTTGATCAACTTACTTTTGCATTTGCCTGATATAGAAGGCGAGGACACATTAAACAAGGGGTCTCCAACCTTTTTGAGAGTGAGGGTTACCTAACGGAGGAGATGGGAGCACTACACTTTCTACACGACGAACATCCATGTTGAATTGATGCTTTTAATGGCATAACATAGCAGTGTGTATTTTCACCTTTAGTCATTCTCATGTGCAGGGTTGAACCCATTTGATTTGGAATGCAGGTGTGGAAGTTATTTTTCTCTGCTCGTGGTATTAATACTTGAAGGATCTTCTGAGAATCATAATGATATGAACCGACAGTCACTTTAGTCAGCTAGCCTGATCAAGGTAAGACAATTTATTAATACATCATGAAAATCTAAAAGTCTTTTTAGGAGGGCTTAGGCCACCATTTGGGCACACAGAATGAACGCCAAATGCAGAAGGGTAGAATAGGAAAGCATGGTTTCAAGAATGTAGTCAAGGGTAGTCTCAATATATATTTAAATGTTTTGACACA